GGGGAGAGTTCCGATAAATTGTTGGAAGTAAGGATGAAAGGAAAATCAGGATAAATCGTGAAGTGTCATGCAATCCCTTTGATCCACATAACGCACACTCTCAGCTCCAGGAGTTTTGTGATTCCCCGCTGCTGTATTTTATTTTTGTAGTTCTAACAGAACTTTGGACGCTGATCTGCAGAGTGTTTGAGCCATGGATTTGCTCGCAAGAGTCTCCTATTCCTGGGTATGTTTAAGATGTCATTTAACTTTCCCATTTTCACTGGAAACGTTTGAGCTGCGAAATTGAGATCTGTAAATGCTTCTCACAATTAGAAATACTGATTTGTCGGTGAAGATGGCTCGATGAGGTGGTTTTTAGTTTTTGTTTCCTTTTTTCACTGTTTCCTTTTTATGCTTTTTGTCGCATTTGGCTTGATGATGTCGGTCAATGTGTAGGGATTTTACCAGCTAAACGTAACATTCTCGTTTTGCAGGAATGTTCCAGTAGCTCCTTGGAACGAGAGTGAAGTTCCTCAAGCAGCAGATATGGTCAACTTGTTCACCGATACACTGAACTGCTTACAGACACATTTAAATGGTAAGGCAAAGATTAAACTATGATGAAATAAATTCATACTGAACAAAGTGGACGAAGGCTTAAGAGTAAAAAGTTTACCAGCACGTTTTCCCAATAGATAACGATGAATGCCTTCGGAAGATACTTCAGATTGTTCAGGGTGTTAAGCGTGGTTTCGTCGAAGTTTCTTGAGGAAAGGACGTTCTTTTTTTTAGGGGTGTGGAGGTGTTTTCAAGTTAGACCAAACATGATGTAGTTCATTTACTGCCTACGTTCAGCTGTATTTTTAGTTAGTTCTACTATGGTTTCTCTGCCTTCATTTATGCTTTTCGTCTTCTCTCTTTATCGTTTTGTTTTTTTCACTATCTCTGACTCGGACGAAATCAATCGAATTAGCCCTTCTAGTATCTTTGTCGACTAAATAGTTTATTCGTCTTTACATTTCAGCCCCTTACAGCGAAACATCAATGATGAACATGTTTTGGAGTTTCTTCGTATCGTCTTTAGCCAAACAAGGAATACCCGAATATGTGCTCAGAGTGTATCGCTCCAAGTTCTTTCAACTCCCATGGCAGAGCTTTGTACCAACATTACACAACATGCAACTTATGCAGGAGGTTTGTTGTTTTTTCTCTGGAAATTCGCATTTTTGATCCTTATAAAAGTAGTTCTCATAGTGCTTCTTGAAACACTCCAGCATTGCTTTCGTTGCAAGAGATATTTCAAAGATGTTTGCAGGATACAAAACCATATGAAGGGTTTCATATATGACGAAGTTATTAGAGCAACTGAAAACCTTTACCATGTTTACATTACCTCGTCTACAAATGTGGAGCGGGGTTTGAGGAGAGGAGAAATGGGAGGAAAGGAGAATTGGAAAACGTCTGCTTAGCGTCTGAAATGTTTTGCACGTCTCTTGAGTTCTTAGATGCGGCTCTGATTTAAACAAGGAAATAGTCTGCTATTGCATTGTAAATATTTCGTAAAACATCAAACGTCAAAATCGTGTTTTTATACTCTTATTTAAACACATCTATCGACACGTGAGTACCTCAAAACTCTTAATCGGTCTTATTGTAAACAAAGCTTTTAAACATCTTTCAGGAGCGTGTAAAATTATAATTTTCTCTCCTGTTAGCTTTATGGTGTATGCAAGAACAGTTTTAGGTTCCTTGGTGTCGTATTTCCTCTGATGGACTGGAAAAACATAATTTCTATTTACTCGTGAGTTGCATTTGTTACATAGCTATTAAGTTCTGAAAGTTAGGTACCGTGATACTTTTATATATATATATATATTATGTAATGTTTCCCTTTAGACTTAGCTTTCTTTTCCAAGAGTTAATTTCGATGGATCGCTTTTTTTCAGGGTGGTTTTTTTTTTTGCGAAATGAAAGCTTGTACCATGGCCAGTGGGAAGTTACTAAAGTTCTGACGAATGTAAAATGTGCATGTATTTTTTATTTTAATAAGAATAAGAAATTTTTCCTTGAGTACGCCCAGTTGCCTGGGCTCATCCCTCGTTAGATTGAGCATGTGAAGAAAGACACGGCCACCTCTTGCATCTCTCACCCGAGTTTCGTTATCTTCCGTCATTAAAAGGAGAATTTGATGTTTGATCCCTCGGAGTGTCGTATGTTTTCACGGTCGCTTCTTAAGCGTTTTCAAGGAGCTGGGATGGAGGGAATTAGTTAAAAACCTCTCAAGTTCGTCTTATAAATGCCAGGTTTCAGTAACTGCTGGAAGTACATGAACAAAACAAAAACCAAAGATGTTGGTAAAATATAAAACGAAAAAGGCATAAGTAAAGGAAGTATTTCCTCTCGTGTTTTTAAGAGGAACAATGTCTTTCTTATAACCTGGTCGTGGTCTGTTCGGTGTAATATGTTTGATTTAGGGAGTGTTCTTAATTTACTTATTGGAATTGTGCATATTTTGCTGTATCTAGCGAGGGTCAAACCGCAGAGGCTGTGGCTCGTCTCTATTCCTTTTTGTTTCATCTCCTGGTCATGTTTTCGAATGAGAATAGTATCATGGCTGTTCAGGTAAGTGAACTGACCTGTCATGCGCAGACAAATTGGTGTTTGGTGAACCGTAACATAGATTATTTGATGTGAAAATCTGTTAGAACAAAATTATTTTCGTTGATGGAATAGTGCGTCAAAAAAATAGACTTGTTCTTACCATAGAATACGAGTTTTCCCTCCTTTTCGGCGAAGTCCGTCGGGCGAGTTAAAATTTTTTTTGACTCGCGCGACGGACTTCTCCGTAAAGGAGGGAAAACTCGTAGCCTACGCTTACCACAGCACCAACATCCCAGGAATTCAATATCAAGCTAGACTGCTAAACAATTCTAGTCCAATAACAAACAGACATACAAGTACAACACTTTAGAAAACATCAGGAACCTCGCACTTTTTTGCGGTTGTTGGCTGTGATTTTGTACATGGTGTCAGGCCAGCGCGGATTAAAACGTGAAGCCCTTCTTTTCCATTAAGACTTGATCAATATATGCCTTCTCCTTACAATATCTAAACGTTATTCGAGAAGTGTGTATTGAGAATATACCAACAAAGGTTCCAACTGATGTAACAGTGAAATTTTTCACCTGGGTTTACAAGGAAAGTCATCATGAAGAACTGTTAATGAGATCTTTGGAATCAGTTCGTTTCGTTGTGCTTTCGTTTGAGATACGTTCTGCTTACAGGGCTCTAAGATGCCAGAGTTACTTAACGCTGCTTGCACATTTGCTTGGCATTACCTTGATGGCAAGTAAGTATCGGACGAACTCTTTGCTTTTTGATTTCTGGTAACGGTATTTTGCAATAAATTAGAGATTAACTCTGGAAAGATGTGACTCAGTTTGGTAACATTTTATCAATTGCATTTGGACGAATGAATACTCACTTAAGACAATAAAGTGCAAGTTTATTTTTGTTTTGTTTTGTTTTGTATGTTTTTATTTTTCAACTGCATCTTTGTATTATATGACACACTCCGTAGTGATTGATTGATTGATTGATTGATTGATTGATTGATTGATTGATTGATTGTGGTCGTTGCTCTGGTGGTTCATTACCATCCACTTAGAGTTCTCAAACAGAAGTACATCCCACAAAGTAACGAAGTATTACTTGTTTTGTTTTGCTTTGGTTTTTTTTTTTTCCTATAATTTCTCCATAGAACTTTCGAGCAAGTTGTTTCTTGGCAAGTTGATAACGGTTCAGCTGAGTTGGTACTTGACGAGAAATCCTGCATCTGGTATGCGTTGAGGTTAGTAGCTTTTCCCCACGAAATAAAAAATCTGAGAAATTGTGCGTATGGTTCGTCTACCTGCAGCACAGGTCTTCCAGTCTGCCCATAAATATGAATTTCAAGTCAATATCTGTGATTTCACTTCAAAAACGTCTTCCCGTAAAAAAGAAGTCGAGTAGGAATGTCGATGTTGCTTAAGAGCCGCTCCAACACAGCTACGAAACAAATGGGCCTTTTTATACGTGATCTTATTGTGGAAGATTGCCTAGTTTTGATAGGGCCATTTAGAAATGGGTGACGAAATGGTGTGGAGATGGAAATTTCTTGATTTCCTTAAACTTTTTTTAAAGAATATTTCCAGCAGTCATCGTAGTCCTTACCCAAGACAAGACAGTTGTTTGAAATTAGCCGCTTTTGAAGTTGTTTCAAACTTAGTTAATAGTGTATTGGTGGAGTGTAATGATTACAATCCACCAATACACTATTAACTAAGTTTATGGTGTGTTAGTGTATTTTATTTCATCGCTGGCAGCGCTCGGGGGCAATATGAAGCGAATCCTCTGTTCTGATTGGTTACGCGAGCCACTCGGGATTGCCCGTTTTTATCCCGCGCATGAAAAAGAAATGAATTAAAACTAACTTCGTAATTCTTAGACAATGTGGGCGATGGAGACGCAAAAAGCGGCAGAAGACAGCAAAAAAAAAAAAAGAAAACAGAAACTACTCTCGAGAGTTTGTTGTTCGGCTGCAAACACAGTTGGCTCTCTTTCCGGCAGGCTCTCGAAGTAGACGAGTCATTCTTAATTCTTAATACATCTTTTTGCAATATAATAAATCCTTTATTAACCGAGATTGTTCGGTCAAGATGACTCTTTCTCGGTCCATAAAAATCCAAAAACTTAACTCAGCCAATGTCCAGCCATCTTGACTTCACGCTTGGACAATATATAATGCATATTTATTTTGTTTTATTATAGGTTGATCAGAGCTGCTGCAGGAATCGTAGTCTCTGAAGATGGCTCTATGCAACCGACACGCCCCGTAAGTTTTCTCTGAAATGTTTTTGCTGTACTGGTAATATTAATGGGCAAAATGGCCTGTTTACTTCTACTGAGTTACTGAAACATGTATCGGAACCGGTGACTAATAGAATACCGGTATTTACGAGAGTGGAGATCTTATAGTGTCAAGAAAATAGCAGATGGGCACCCTTACCAGACGTTCTGCCAAATAGGAAAATACAATTTAAAAATGAAGGTCAACCATCACGGTTGATTGAGATGCTATTTTAAAGTTTGACCAGAGTATTCCCCTCCTCCCCTACAGATGGGGAGCAATTGCTCTGTTTTTACATATCCCCGTGTGCAAAGATGCGAGCGACCAGTTGCACAGTTTTAACCGTCCTCGGGTATCATTGCATGATTTGAATGGTGTAGAAACATGATCACTACCACGGAAGCTGTTACCACAGTCTTCTTTTTTCGCTGTCATCTCTTTACTCAACGTGGGAGCGGTTAATTGGTCTGAGTTGTGGGATGGTGGTAACTTACTTTAGTCTGAATTAGGGTGCAGGGTTGCTAGAAGTGGAACGTGTAGTCTAATAATCCATTTGCAGAAAGTTGTCCTGAAAAATATTGTTGTTGATGACAGAGTCTAACGTTTCGACCTGAGTGGAATTCATTCTCAGAGTCAAGAAATATGACACACCCTACCTTTCTCCCTTATATTTTATGGGAGTTCTGATCCTGACTTTGCTGCCATCCAAGAAGGCAATCGTTAGTTGAGTGTAATATACTAAGAAACAAGATAAGATAAATTATAAATGCAATCATTTTCGTTAATAAGCCAACATTCCATCTTGTTTCAGGATACAGCAGCGAAACGTGCGTCGTATGTTCGATGTATAGCAAGGCTGTTGTCCACATGCTCGATGGACACAAAACACAAAGTCAAATCTTACGGACCAGTGATTTTATTTGTTCTTAAAGATATCGAGTCTGTTGCTGGTTCAGGTCAGTAAAGGGAACATTAACCTTCAAACGGAAAATTCATTGTCTGAGAAATTGTGGTTGGATTTTCTAAAAATGCTGTGTTTTTTAAGCTGTTTACTGCTGTTGATATATTTTCGTGACAGCTGCGGATATTTTTATTTTATTTTATTTTATTTTATTTTTGAGGAAGAAACGCTCTGTAACCAACGTAACACTTTAGAATGCATTCCTTTAGCTTCTTGATGAAACGTGAAGGGAAATTAGCGTTACTGTTCCCGGCAGAAAGATGCGCAAAGTGAGAGGCGCCACCATTGTTACAGCGGTAATTTTTGTTGAAGCTGCAATATTCTCAGCTGCTATCCTAAGATATGTTTTGACTACATGGGTTAATCAATCATCAACATTCTTTGACTTGGTGTGAATTGTGAGAATGTAATCTTGTGAAATATGAATGACCTTCTACATAGGTGTTGATCCAGCAAGTACTGCATCAGAAGTGTGCATGATGATGTCAGAGGCACTTCACCTTTTGAACAACTGTTCTCCCGTGGGGGATGTACTCCGTGTTACTTTAGACTCTATATTGCAGTTCATCCGCGATACGTCTTGTACCATGGTTGTCTTGGTGTCCATATCAGCTGCTTGTAGGACCCTCGCTAACATCCAGTACATGGTCTCCGTCATGGAGACTGGAATCCAGTCATTTTTTGCCAAGCATTCGCCGCCAAACCCCATTGGTGTTCAAATGGACGCGGATGGAGGCTGGGCACAAGTTGTACCTAGTGTAGCAGTGCCAGAACTCGCCCAAGATGAATTTGTTCAAGGTCGGTTTTAATTTGTTAATTTTTTTCAGAGAGAATTTTGATTAGCTTACCATTCATTACGGCTAAGCATTGTTAGGCCTTTTCTCCTGTATTTCGTAAGTGCTTTTTGTTTTTTCACTTGTTTTTCTTTTGTTTCATCAGCATAATTTTGACAATTGGGGGGTGGGGGTGGGGAGCTTTGTGCGTCCAACCGCGTGGAAACTTCTCTATAATCTTTTCTTTGGAAAATAAATGGACTATAAGTTGAAAAGTCACGTCTCAAACATTTTACACTTCATAATACTTAAAAAGTTAAAATCACACACTTCATTTTACTAGAATGACCTCTTGTTTTGTGTTGACTTTACTTTCGTAACAAATGTGATAGTTGAAGACAAACTCGGATATATTTTTTTCTTTTTGGTTTGTTTATCAGCCGCACACTATTAGGGCACTAACTTACCCATCATCTATCACAGAAAAGACAGCGAGTAGCGTGGCCAGTCAGATTGCAGCATTTCCCAGATAGAAGTCTGCGAAAAAACCAATAGGCTTCTACTTTTACTTCCCCCTGTATTAAACAAACTTTGTTAGTGATGTCTTAAATTTAGTGATTTCTGTTATTCTTTAAGAATGCGTAAGGCAAGGTGCTCTGCTGACGCTCTACACAAACATACTCCTTAAGCTATCCTCATGCCAGAGTCCAGTCCAAGAGATGTCTATTCTTACTGATATAGTCACGTGGTGCTCACATGTTAAAGTCAGGTGAGAATCTGGATATGATTTTGAGCGCCGGGGTGATATCTAAGTATGTGAGTAATTGTATCAAACTTTTTACCGTTGCAAGTGTCACGAAAAGCACGGTATCAATCTTAACAAAGTTGTTAACTAACAAATTTGAACCGTTGAGGTGTACAAAGAATTTTTTTGCGTAGTTTCTTTGTTTTGTTATTAATTTTCTCAACCCTTTATTGATCAAGAACGAAATTCCCCTTTCACTATCAATGCAATAAAGTGTAATAGAGTTAAGATAACAGACACGAGTAACATGGACCTTTCTATTACAACTGAAATTAATTATGCGGCAAACCGGAAGAATAAACACACCCATCTCCATCAGCTCGAGATTTAAGGTGTTGTCTTGATGTGATAAAAGATTCTCTGGATCAGTTTAATCAGTTTATAAGGAAACAGTGGCGGATCAAGGGGAGCGGCCTTTATTTGGGTAAAAACATTACGCAGAAGGAAGAAAAGCCGGCAGGTGCACACACACTCACACACACAAACACACACACACACGCACGCACGCACGCTCGCATGCACGCACGCACGCACACACACACACACACAAAACCGCCCCCCTCCCTCCTAGGCTCAAGGTCTGGATCCGCCACTGGGAAAGGTACATAACTGTAAGGGAGAAATAATTTGGATATATCAACAAAGTTGAAATGGTAAATTGGCTACCGTAACGATTACAAATGCTGACGTTTCGAGCGTTAGCCCTTCGTCGGAGCGAATAGAGGAATTGTAGGTTGTGTGTGCTTTTAAAGGCAGTTGAGT